TGGATCTGTTCATACAATAATATATTATTGCCAATGAAAAATTTGTCGAGTTCACTCTCTTTGCCACTGTGAAGACTTGTCAATTATGAGGTTCCTAAGGCTTGGAATGGGGATACCTGAAGCTCTAAGCTACACAGGGGTCCTAAAACCTAGCTTGTGGGGTCTTAGATAGGTGCCAAAGAACTAGAAAATATTTCGAGGTCAGACACCATGGAAATGAAGAGGTCATGGTGAGGAGTCAAATACCCCGAGGAGTCAAATCTCATTTGATCTATAATCTGTTTATTTATAATATAATATCTTGCATCTCCTATTGTTTCGACATTTTGATTTACACATCAAGCCCATTAAAGGCAGCAGCAGTTGGGCACTTATCTCGATTGAATCAGTCAGCTACGTCAATAGTTCTTTCCCATGATTCATCCATTCCATGATTCACAAAAAAATTACAATAGGTACGCACATATAATCAGTTGAAAATTTATTTCACTTTAGTTACACTATCAAACATTCGTTACTTATCCTAACATGCAATACAAGAAGTGACGAATCATTATTCTGCTATCACACTCAATTTCTTCGAACTACTTATCATTAGATTAGTTGTTCTAATGCCAACAGCTATACTACCGGTTGTACCGTATTGTTATCAGCAGAAGTATCAACCGTACTATTATCATTAGTAGTAGTTATATTGGCATCTGTTCCATTATTTTTCCAATCCTGGTTGATGGGTACAATATAATACACCCAGGAAGGTACCCAATCGTACAGTGTGTACCACCAGTAGTATTCATCTGGGGAGATATTAGGAGCTATATATATCACATAAGAGTCATTGTCTGACCATGAGTCATCATCTGTCGTTTCGTTCGAGGTTGGTCCTTGAAGGTTTGTAGTTACCGAGGTGCTTACGTTGCTGTTTGGGGTACCTGGTGGAGGTGGTGCTTTGATTGCTTGAGGTAGCACTATAGCTACCGCTATCACCTAGAAAATCAGTTCCATTTATTTCATTGAAATGATGGGAAAAATGGATGTGACTTTACAACTTTTCCATTGAACAGAAGGTATGAGTGCTAATTGTGTTACAGTGAACCATTCCTTTCATTCGTTTCAATTCGTTCCCTACTTTTTTCGAAAATTCAACTGATAATGATAATATCTTGCTATATTTCTAGTATTTTGAATATACTGGGTGAAATCAAAATGAATACATACAGGGTGTTTCAATAAAACCTGACCCCCTAACTAGGGTAGGTAGAACACTGCAAAATAAGTTGGGTTTACTTAGTAAGAAAATTTCGTAACGGCATCCGTTAACAAGATACAAGGTGTTGAAAAAATATTTTTTTTACACATTTTTCAAGATTTTGACGAAACTACTGGCAACATTGTGATGAAATTTTGTATGGATGTTTCTTGGAATCTGACACATCGCATGCATTCGTTTTTATATCTGACTCTCATAGAGGGCACTAGTTACACAGTTCGTACCAAGTAGTTTTGAACATAACTTTTTTGAGGTTAGATTTTTCGATCCAAATTTGATGTGAACTTAGACATCATTCAATTTAAAACCAAAAAGGTACTCTTGGTAAAACTCGATACTGTGTACCGTTTTCAGAATATTTCGATTTGAAAATGATGAAGTGATAACTGTTGCTGGTATAAAGCTATGTATTATAATGAGTATTATGAAAAATTATCACCTATTTATTGAAAACCGAAAACAAGAATACATTTCTGATGCAAAACTTATTGATTTAACAATGAATCACAAGAATAACATGGAAACAGATTTGACTAAGAACATGGATAACACTGTTTTGTTGTATCTTGAGCAGAAAGTTTATGCTACATAGGTAAATTCACGTCAAGAGTTGTAAGACATAATTGTACATCACTCAAATGACCTAACAGCTGATTCTCAACTGTTTAAAATAATAATACATTCTCAAGAAAAGAAATTAGAATCGTGTATTCGTCGAAACGTAGGACATTTTGAACACTTACACTAACTGATTCAATATTTCATGTTTCTAGTCAAATATCTCTTAATTTACAACTTATGACTCTTCGTTCCATCAATTACTCCAGTGCAAGAATGATTTTATTGTTTTTGAATCTGAATAAATGGGTAATATACTACCCTAGCGAGGGGGTCAGGTTTTTTTGAAACACCCTGTATATCCATATCAACAAAACATTGTAACAAAATTGAGATCAGAAATTATATAGGTTGATTTTATGTGAAGACTCAAAGTACGCAGATATTTGCCTCAAATAGTCAACAAGAGATGCATATACAGGGTGTATGTGTGTATGAATAACACCGAAAAAATTCAAGGGGTGATTTCCTGTGTGTGATATTCTGGCAAATAAAGTTCATATGATCATGTGTCCTAACTTGTTCCGTTTTTGAGGTACAGGATGTTGAAGTTTGAAGTATCAATTGTTTTCATTTATAACCCCCCTGTATGAGCTTCCATGGTGCCAAAATTCAGTATGGTTAGAGACTGAGGAAGCCCTGAAATTTCAAAATGATTGTAATTGGAGTTATTGAGTAACCTTTGGAAGAAGTCCATGGTAACTCAAAGTGGAGTGGTGTAGTTCATAGATGAAAACCCAAAGGCATCTCCACAACTTTTATTTAATGATCATAGATCATATAAGGGAACATGTTTCGGGCTTATATAAGCCCATCATCAGCCAAGAAAACGTAAAGTTCTAGAAAAGACAGATTTTGACCTATGGTATGATACAATAATATTTTACTTACATGGAAGTGAAAAATGTTGCAATGTGTATAAAATGAGCAATAACGGAGCAAGCAAAGGCCATTGCTCCATGATCTGGAAAAGGAACAGTAAAATTTTTGAAGAAATATCAATATGAGCGAAACTTACTGTTTATATAATAAAAATGTTTTTTAAAAAAATTTAAAAAGTCGAAGGTTCAGGGGTCGGGAACATATTTAATAAGGGCCCACGGTACCCTTAAATCACCGATAAGTGGTAATTAAACTTGAAAATATCAATCTTTTATAATTAGGAAGATGTGGCTTCGGAAATAACCAAGAAAAGAATTACGTGTGCGGAAGCACTGAACAGTAAAATTTTATGCTGTCAACTGTCAAGTCATCCAGATCATGGAACAACTAGTTGCATAGATAGACAAATTAGGTGATGGGGGACGGAACACCATAGAACAGCACTACGTCAGATTGGCAACAAAACTGAAAACAAGATTGATACAATCAGAAATCTTACAATCATGAAAAAAATCTAGAAAAAAGTAACCTCAATGGAAGTCTAGAAAACACCCATATTAAAATTCGGAATCAAATCGAATGTTTATTGTTTCCTCAAAAACTAAGCTTGATACTGAATCATACAAGGGATGAAGAAAAACCCGTGGCGTACAATGACATCCACTATAAATATCGTTAAATTTACCAACTGTGACGCCACTCAAGATATTATTTCGAATCTAAATGCACCAGAAGAAGATATCAACAAAACACGAAGTTTCATTGACATTGATGAAAGGACAATTGAGCAATAATTAAAAAACGATTTTTCATGGAAATATTAATACCCTGTGTCTCGAAAACGAAGCAAGGAATCGCCCCTTGAATTTCTTCGGTGTAATTTAGATACACCCTGTATGTAGTAAATTTACTGAAGACAATTAATACTTACAAAGAGGAGATTGCACATGTTCATTTAGTTCAACCACTGATAGTGATTCTACTAAGACTAATTTTTCAGGAACGTATGAGTATATATTCAATGTGATATATTATTATTCATATTCGAGTCAATTATCTCAGATATATGTCATATTATTCAAACTACCCACATGAATTTTCATGAATTTCCCTAATGGTCGAGTAGCAGTATACCTTTATTTAAATAATTCGACCTTGAAATGAGAAATTATTTCAGGATAATTGACTCAAAGGTCGAACAATAACGAATTAACATAATACAGAGATAGAAAATACAAGTAAATCACATACCTTTTCATTTTGAATATTCACTGATTTCCTAATTCTCATCTTGTGATTGCTGAAATTTTGAATATGTCAATAAACAATCCACTGTTCACATCAAAAACTTAACTCTTCTTACTCATACGTAATTTTTTTTTCTTGTCAAAGGTTGCCAGTAAATCACGTGTTTCTGTGTGTTATGATGTACAGGGTGTGTGGTCTTGGGTGGCTCTCCTATTGAATTTTCCTGGTCGACGTTTCTATTTCAGTTGCAAAGTAAATGCATTATAATTATTTACTCCATCATTTTTACCATTACATGACGATATTCACACAGTTCTTATCAGTGATTTATTCATTCCTATTTTCACTTTCATTCAGTTTCCTTTCCTTGTTCCATGAGGTACATTGAATTCCAATCCTGTCTGAAAAATAATCGGCTTCAACCAATTGGATCCACGATTCATATTGTTCTGATTACAAATTTAAAATTCGCAAGTATAGGATAAAATCACAGAATTCAATTGGATATGGGAGTATTATAATAATAATTGACATAATATATTGAATTAATGTATATAAGATGGGAATTCAATTATTTGAAACTCCATTCGCAATTTTGTTTTGAGATGAAAATCAGTATCCCAGTTCCCCGTTTGGTCAAAAGTGCATGATGTATTGTAAATGCCTCATCTAGATACTGAAGCACTGAGGAACCAAATTTGATGGCTCCCATTCTCAAAATTTTGTGATCGATGTATTCAATAAAGAAACGAAAACGAATATCATCCACTTCAATGATTTATTAACACAAAATAGAATTAAACATGTCATACATTTTTCAACTACCATAAATACCTCTCAATTAAATCGATGGCGATAGTAGTCCCATTTAGGTATCTCTCAATTATTTAACAACAAACAAAAAGTGAGTTTATATTTTATATGACCTTTTAAGGCAATATCAAAAGCTCATTCACTCAGCTAGAAATTATACTTGAAGCTTTCATGAATCAGTAGCGTCCGTTGGTTCGTCACAGCTACCGCCATCTTGACCAGTTTCGTCCGAGACCCCATCACGCTCTTCAGACGAACTAGAACTAGAGCTAGAGCTAGAGCTCCTTCTGCATCGTCCGTTCCCACTTGCGCTACTAGAATTGGCACCATCACTTTCGCTAGTATTGGGCTCCCTAGCACCGCCAGTAGGGGAACTATCACCGCTACTACTCGAACTTGAGCTATCGCTATTATCAGGATCAGCTGCATCTCCAGTACTGGGATCAGAAGTATTGCTACTATTGGAACTAGAGCTATTGCTATCATCATCATCATCATCATTGTTGTTACTATTTGAACTTGAATTTTCGCTATTATTAGGATCAGTAGCATCTCCAGTATTGCGGTCAGTACTCTCGTTACTACTTGAACTTGAGCTAGCGCTATTGGAATCAGAACCATCTCCAGTATTAGGACCAGTTTGGTCGCTACTATTTGAACTAGAATTTTCGCTAGTATTGGGATGAGTATCATCACTTGTATTGGGTCCAGCATCATCACCACTATGAGGACTAGCATTATAACTGGCATTAGGGTCAGCACTTGTATTGGGATCCGTATTCTCACTGGTGTTCGGCTCAGCATCATGACCATTTTCTGGCGCAGCATTATGATTAGTTGTATGAGCAGCATTATTATTAGTTGTAGGGCCAGCATTATGATGAGCATTGGATCCAGCATGATGATTCGTATTAGCGTCGGGTCCATTGTTGTCCTCCATATTGATTGGTTCCGACCCATCGACTATACCATTGAAGTACACCCTTCTGACGTTGCCGGTGTTATTGTGACTGTTAGATGATGTTTCTTGGACGATGGACATTTGCGTGTGTCTGCCTGGAGATCGATGTTGAGTCGAGTTTCTCAGAGACTGTTGGTTGTTGCCGGATCTTTGGTATGAAGATTCTTGGATGGTAACGTCATCGTTGTTGAGGGAACTGTCTCGTGATCCACTGGGGGTGGCTAAACTACATGCCAAGAACACGAGTAGGGCAGAAACAACCTAGAAATATAAACATCAATTATTAAGAATTAAGTAACAAGAATCTCTGAAATTGTGGGAATTCGATCATATCCTGATAAATATTCTCATAAATACGGCCTTGGAAAGAAGTGAAACAGTATGTTTTATGATTTGTTAATAAACTACTAATATAGTAGGAAAACTGTGATTCTTCCCACCAATATGAGATGAGGATGAAGAATTGATTCCATGAATTCAAATATAAAGTCTACGAACGGAATGAAAGCCCGATTATTGGTTTTGTGATTCATGAATACAATTTTACTTACAATTATTGCTCTGTTCATTTTGTGAAAATTTCACTGACACTGGACGATTTGAGTGTGGGCTCTGTTAATGGAAAATCGAATATATACTGATTTGCCTCATCGATATTCACGATTCTGATATATTGATTATCACTGAAGACCTCGATGTTCATCACACTCCATCATATACTGATTCCCTCGAATTATGCAGTATTTCAGATAAAACTTGCGTTTTCGTGAATCACTTTCATGGTTGGAAAGGCTGTTTTGTGAGTCTCTATTGCTTATCAATATTCAACAATGTCATTGAATCTGGAATACTTGGTCAGTGATTATCAACAATAATAATGAATTCCACCTTGACAGGCGATTATTCAGATATTTTGCGTCAGTTTGAGGTATCTAGTGATTGGGCATAGAAATGACCTATTTTGACTGTGTTTTTGAGTATACAAATAATAGTAAATCCCCAGTGAATTTCACCCTCCTCTTTGAATGGAAGACGAAATATATACAAGGTAGGTATTTACACTACTTCGACCTACAGGGTCAATGAACAGGACCTAATTATTGGACGAATATTTCTTGATATAACGGCTGATGATGAACATATTATGCATGTCAGAAACATGTATTTCTTTTTTCTGGTTCATGGGATTATCATATCGAACTCTGTCGTGGAGATGAAATGAGTATAATTCGAAAGTTGATAATAGTAATAGTCTATCACATATACACGGTGTTTCTTGAGTACGTGTAGAAAATCAAGGAGCATGTTGATGACGTCAAAATAAGAAGAACAGTTTTTATAAATATATCTCCGAAAGTTATTCGTTTCAGAGATACAGAGTGTCGAAGTTGAATTCTTATCATTGTTTTTCTGTTACTGTATTTCGAGATAATTGTGATATTCGAATAAAGTTTGGTATCTTGGTGTATTCTTCAATGACAATATCAAATTTGATGTTAGTTTGTCTCTTTCGTGAGGGTGGCGCCATCTACATGGAGTGGAAAATGTTAGGTTCTGAACATATCAACAATAATAATAGCGAATATTAATTTCTCTTCATATCCCACCATGCTTAGCTCGGTAATCAAATGAAGCTTAACAATAACGTTGTGTGAGACAAGAAAGTATTGCTGGCCGTAATCATTCAAAAACAGATTATTCAACCAATCAGATTCACAGAATGAGTGAATTACAGATCAGGCAATTATGTGAATCTTTAAGGCTTTCCTGATCGAAACAAACAAACTGCCGAAATCGGGAACAAATCAGGTATGCGTCCCAACCCAAATAACCAACCATATAATATAACAATGTTGTTTTTCTGCAACCGATACAAAAGTCGTCCATTTTGATCCCAAAATTAGCTCTTAAATTGACGTTTTTATTACTGACACAAAAATAAGAATGTTGCTAGGCAACATATTCAATTCCTAGGAGCTAAAGTTGAATTTTAGTTCCTAGGAGCTAAAGTTGAACTTCTATCTCCTAGGAACTGAAACGGATCTACTGGACGTCATCAAGAATAAACAACATTGTGATGGTTGGTTATTTGGGTTGAGACGCATACCTGATTTGTTTCCGATTTCAGCAGATTTGGGATTTCATACCCATGCTGGAGATATAAATAAACCTTATTATAGTTTGGTATTGGAATTATGAACATCTCAGTTAAGTATTTTTGTTTTGATCAGGGAAGCCTTCAAGATTCAAATACTTGCTTGATCTGTATTTCATTCGTTATTCTCGGGATGGATAACTTGTTTTTGAATAATCACGGAAAGCAATAGTTTATTTGTCTCAAACAACGATATGGTTTAGCTTCATTTGATTATCAAGTCAAACACAGTGTAGTATGCCAGTATGGAGAGGAATAAATAATCACTATTATCATTGTTGATATGCTCACTAACCTAACATTTTCCACGTCTTGTTCCTAATAGCTGGCACGTGCGCGGTATTTGCCATTAGAGCACCTGGTCCATAGACAAATATGTCACTATGTGGTTGATTTTATATTGAAACTACAATTCGAACATCCTAGAAAACCTAACCTGCTGTTAATGCAGGTAGAATATTCTCACCACACGGATTATTTGTCAATATTTGTTGCATTGCATACATATGGCACGGCATTGGTGGTAACTTCACATGTTCATTTGAGTTAATTGTTTCGGTTGCAGAAAAATAGCATGTTTCATTCGGATCAAAAGTGACTTTGTTCGACTCGCAAATTTTGCTTTCGTTCGGCTTCGCTAAAGGCTCTGCCTCGCAAATGCAAAATTCGCTTGTCACCTTTGATCCTAATAAAACAATCTACTATTATTCTTGATTCCCTAGTACATCCTTTTTAGTTTCTAAGAGCTAAAGTCATAATATAGAAATGTCAATGCAGGAGCTAATTTTCGGTATTCAAATGGACGACTTCTGTGTCGCATCAGAAAAATGCTTTTCCCCACATGTTGCACTCTATACTTTTTCTACAACTGAACTTATTCAAAGGATCCGAGTGATGTTACTTATTGGTATTCATTTTATAATGTGGCACTATGCCACATTGAATATTGTGACCAAAGAGTAGACGCCTTTCCTAGTTCCTCAAAGTATTTGAAGAAAGTACACTTTCCGAAAAAGATTTTATTTCTGTATTTTTTTAGATTTCATGAATTTTTCGTACCAATATGCCAATTCATACTTTTTTAATGAAATCTCCGGAAACAAATCCAACTTTCGCAGCTTTTTCCATTATATCTGTCTCTGGCGGTGTATCTATCAAAGTAGTCACATCTCGGTATATACATCATATTATTTATTATGAATTGTTGGAACAATATTTGATGGAAAATGCGATTTCTAATATCGAAAGCACTAATGAGAACTACCCTAAAGAATTCAAAAAACTTCTTCTGACAGTTGTGACAACTATTCAAAGCTGAACAGCAGCCAAGTTTCTCCATGGAAATGTATATGGTGTTGGCAAAGTGCCGTGAGAAGAAATATTTCTAGGAAGCTATGAGAAATGCGCTACTCTTCATAGCAGTAGTAGAAAAAAATATTTTTCACCGCCCTCTCACTGCTCAACGGTGCATTTTCGTACAGATGTAAGTTGATTTTGATCGGCCTATTTTAGTCCCCAATTCACCATCTAGTTTTTACGGTATGTTGTTCTGGGACACCTTGTATTCATTTCAAAGAGCTGACATGCCACTTCAGTTGGTTACATTTCCTCTAACCCCACCGCCGAAATTATTCATCTCAGACTCTGTTCGGCGTCTGAACTTCCGCTCAGAAATTCATATCTCTAATGAACCCGGCGCGAATGATTGATGTTCATTCATTTCCAACAATAAACTCCATCGTGATCTGCACAATCCCTAATGAGAGACGCTGCGAATTATCCTGAAATGTACACTCTGTTTGATATCTCGCGCTCTAACGATTTGATTGATGGAAAAATGGATGAAGATACAAGTTATACAGTGTGCATTCTGTTGAAGTTAATCCAGAAGCAATTGCAGAGTTGCCAGCAGCATCTGCACTCACTTCAAAGGGAACTTCAAACTCGCCGCCGACACTGCACAATACGGAATATTCTGCAATTGAAGACCATTGGGGAAAACAAGGGAATGTCACAAAATAGTAATTTTCCTAACAAGTGCGGAAAGTGATTCTTTCGAACGACGCGAAGCGGAGTTCGGGCAAGCAGTCGAGTGCGGGAAAGACGCTTTCCCGATAAGTCAGGAACCATATTTTTTCTACAAGCGTAGGGAATTGATTGTGCAAGTATTAATCGCATGGTCATCACGGAAAAGGCAAACGGTAAAATAAGGTTGTGTCTTGATCCATCTGACTTGAACAAACGAATTATAAGAAAACCAATTTTGTCGAAAATACCACAAGAAATTAGTAAAAGTCTGATAGGTAAAATATGTTTCTTCGTTTTCGATTTGTCTGAGGGATATCATCAGTTACGACTCACAGAGGGATCATCTTGAAAATGTTGTTTCGCAACTCCTCTTGGAATTTATAGATATGTAGTTTTACCATATGGGTTATCCAACTCTCAAGATCTGTTTCACGAACAGGTTGATAGACATTTTGGGAACATTAAAAATGTAAAAATTTGTCATGATGACATGATTATATCAGGCAGAACAGAACTTGAACATGATAGGGCAGTAAATGAGGTTATCGAGACAGCTAGAAAAATCAATGCACGGTTTAATAAAGAAAAAGTCCAATATAAACAGAAACCAGTCAAATTTATGGGACAAATCTTTTCGTATAAGGGAATGAAAGTTGATCCAGATCGCATTGAGTCAAGTTGAAAACCCCGAAAGATAAAAAAGAATTGCAACGCATCATCGGTTTTTTTCAATTACGTCAGACAGTATATACCTGATATGACTAAATATATGCAACCGTTATTTCAGCTCTTGAAGGAAAATGTTTAGTGGCAGTGGCTTCCATCTCACGATAAAGCTTTTGATGACAAAAAATATTCTTACTAAACCCCCCGCCCTTGTATACCATTTGACCCTGATAAGAAAATCATTCTGCAATGTGATGCATCAAAATGTTCAATAGGATGCTGTCTATTTCAAGTTTATGAAAATCAATCGCTAAGGTTAGTATCTTGCGCTTCTCGTACAATGAATGATGCAGAAATCGATATTACAGTCTAACAGAGAAGGAAATGCTGGCAATATATTTTGCAACTACGAAATTTCACAATTATATTATAGTCATGAGATAGATGTTCAATCGCATCATAAACCTATTGTATCCATTATGAAGAAATCAATTTGCAAAATAGGTTCAGTCAGGCTACAGCGTCTCAGACTCAAACTATTAAAATATTCGCTGAACGTGTACTATGTTCCTGGTAAAAAGATTCACTTTGCTGACATGTTATCGAGATGAAGTTTAGAGTATACTACTCGTGATCTTGACATGTTAGAAATGGTCCATTCAGTTTCGAGGCATCTACCTAAGAGCGAAGAACGAAAATCACAATTCAGAAACTGCTAACGACACAGTTTTGTCTACTATCGCTAAATATTATCACAAATTTCTAGATGTTTGTTATTTGCTGTTTCCCCTCTTCCTCCCCATTATGTCACTGTGCTTGAAAGTTTGAGCAGTCCTCGTTAGTTAACGACATTTATTTAGTATTACGAAATGTCTTTGAATATTTTCCAAACCGGCACAAAACAGTCCTAACCAATCAACAAATGATTTGTTACCAACTCATCTCTTTTTTATGAATAATCCAGTTTTATATTTGGATGATTTGTTGATTATTAATTAACAAGTTTTGACAAAAATGTTTCCTAAACTTTCGGTTACCTTTTGATGGTGCGCTAATTTCTTGGAGAAGTGTACTTATTTCGTTTCGCAAAATGAATTTATCAGCTCTGTATGTAGGGTGATGCTGCTGGTGTAGAGAATATAAGAAGGACTTCCCTCCCCAGCCAGTTTTTTATTCATGTGCTTTCTAGGAACATCAGATACACCCGATACAACCGCCGCCTGTTCATCCCTTAAAATCCCAAAAGTGTTCCAGGTGATAAAAAAACCGTCTACTATACCCTCGACGCCTCATGAATATTCCTAACCTCAACCTCACTGTTTTTTATTGCATTTTCTATTGCGTACAGTGCCTTGGCGAGCTCGTCAAGCCTACATCTATCCACTGTTTTATGATGCCGAATGGGCTCTTCCCTCATCCTTTTTCACTCTACGGAAGATAAAAATTTAGTTTGGGCTGTATTCGGTGTACGTTACTCAAGGCTCAAGGTTTTCGTTTGTTCTGTTGGGCTTATCAGTATAAAACCTGTACCCACGAATTACTTCTAATGGAATAGATAAAACACACTCTACAAAATTGTCAGCGACAATGGGCGTGTACACCTTAGTATAACTTTTAACTCAAACCATGTTTATAATGATCCTTTTATACATAAATAATGATTGACGACAAAATTCGATCAAAAAATTAACTGGGATGTCTCACTTTTGGACATAAAGAATAGTACCCTCTTATGACGTAGAAACCTCATCTCGCCATAGTTGAAAGAAAATACCAAACGCCCGACGGAGACTGAGGCAACTGATATATTAATTCTTTCAACTGTGATCTCGCGCTAATTCACTCTGTCAGAAATCATGTATCATTCATCTCTGTCTAGAATAGTATTGTTTCAGTATTAGGGTTTTGACGTCACATCATCGCCCCGTTTTCAGTGGTCCGAAAAATCGGGGATTTCAATATTTTTTTATAAAACGTAGGAAGCTAACAGGAAGAAACGGTTTGCAGTGGTGAGCTAGTTTGGGTGAGTTCTATCGAATTATGAAATAAAATTTTTTTGTGATATAAGCCCATTGGAGAAATCTTGATCAGTTTTCTGAATGAAATTCGTGTAGTCTAATTACCATAATACGTAGGTTGAGTTACTTCATCTTCAAAATTCATCAGTAAGTATGAAACATGTAAATGTTCATCATTCCAGATTTTTTGTGATGTTCTCTCTTCGTCTCTATGGAATAAAAATATGAATATTATTTCAATATACGTGTATACAGGGTGTTTCATAGGTAAAGGGAAATATTTCAATGGTAGATAGGGGTCACCAAGGTGGTTTTGAAAATACCATATTTGATAGGTCTTAGAGTTTTCATAACGGAGATACAGGGCGATTTATCGATTTCGAATAATTATTCATTCGTCTATAAGTATTGAACTACCCAGTATATTTTTCTAAAATTTGGTATGGAGCTTAAACTTGAGACGTTGAATTCATTCACCTATCGGGCGAAGTGAAAATCCAGGTTTGGCTTCAGGAAAAATGTACATTTATTCGAAATATCAAAATAACACACTGTATGTAATAATTGACAAAGTTCATCAAAGGAATCGTGAAGAGGAGGAAAAACTGAACTGGATTTGATGCTTTTTGTTTTTCCGCCACCAATTCTCATCGTAACAATCATAAATAGGAAGCTAAAAGTATGTCAATTTCAAGAGTATTGAAATTATGAAACCACTTTCAATTATGATTATTTGATTTATTATTATTCTGTTAAATGATCGTTCGAAAGAACTTACTTAGTCTCACAGTCTTCATAACAGAGATACAAGGTGAATTATCACTCGTCCATAAGTATTAAACTACCCATCGCAGTAATATTTTCTCAAATTTTTAATTGAGCTTACTTGGGACGATGGATTCATTGACCTATCAGGCAGAATGGACATACAGGTTCAGCTTCAGGAAAAGTCTCATAGTCTTTATAACAGAGATACAGGGTGAATTATCGAATTATAATTCCGCCTGATAGGTTATTAAATCCATCGTTCCAAGTAAGCTACATACCATATTTGAGAAAATGGTACTGGGTAGTTTTATACTTATGGACGAGTGAATAATTATTCAAAACCGATAATTCACCCTGTATCTCCGTTATAAAAATTGTGAGACTAAGTAAGTTCTTTCGAGCGATTTTTTTACTAAAATATATCGAATAATCATAATTGACTCTGGTTTCATAATTTCAATACTCTTCAAATTGACATACTTTCAGCTTTCTGTTTATGATTGTTACGATGAGAATCGGTAGCGGGAAAACAAAAAGCATCAAATCCAGTTCAGTTTTTCTTCCTCTTCACGATTCCTTTGATGAACTCTGTCAATTATTACATACAGTGTGTTATTTTAATATTTCGAATAAATGTAAATTTTTCCTGAAGCCGAACCTGGATTTTCTCTTCGCCCGATAGGTGAATGAATTCAACGTCCCAAGTTTAAGCTCCATACTGAATTTTAAAAAAATATACTGGGTAGTTCAATACTTATAGACGAATGAATAATTATTCGAAATCGATAAATCGCCCTGTATCTCCGTTATGAAAACTCTGAGACCTATCAAATATGACATTTTCAGGACCACCTCGGTGACCCCTATCTACCATTGAAATATTTCCCTTTACCTGTGAAACACCCTGTATAGTAAGGACAAATCAGAATATTTGCACTAGCTTGTCAGTGACAATTTGTATTGAATAAGGTGTGGAGAAGGGAAATGAAGGTATATAGAAAAAATATTGAAATTTCACTCACCTTGGACGTTTCGGGAATGAATCTGCTCCCGTTTTCAACATAAAAAATGGATCAGTTCTCAGTGAGAATTGGTGATGTTGGCAATCAAATGAGTTACAGGATGTTTTCATTGATTAATCTTGAATTCACCATTTACATTTTCAATTCTAGTAGTGAATACCATGGCACAGTTGCCATATGTTGAAATACGATTGGAACTTCACAAATATCGGTTATTCAATTATTCATAAATTCTCAACTTTGTTTTGGTGATATTCCTAATTACACATAAAAATTCAATTGTCTCAAAATGTTCCCTTTGTGTTAATAATAATAATATTATTCAGCATTCAGTACATTATTGCCAAGTCTTCATCATCAACATGATATTTTGTTGAGGAGTATAAGACATATTTAGACATGCTGGTTGCTCGAAGAAGTGAAGTATCATTTATTATCACATGGCTTCCCTATATATTAGGTTCGTTTTTTTGGTTTCCTAGTGGTGGCAGTAGAAGTGAAGACCAATAAAACGATGTGATTCATATTTGAAAGTTGGGACATTCCAGCTGATCTTTTTTAGGATAATTTCGGGATTTTGCTGTTCATCAAGTAATACCGCAAATGTATTTTTGAACATTCAGAAGTATAATTTCAGGATGAGTCCAGAAGTTTATGAAAGCATTCTGGGTAGAATTGAGAATAATTCCAAAATATTTCCTGAGGCGAGTTCACTTTACGGCAATTTTAGGTCAGATTTTTAGGTTAGATTATATAAAATACCACCATTCCCGCCATTTTATATACTCCCTCCACAATCGTCTTCCTGTCATTCCGTATGAGAAGACGGAATGAAGAGTTGAAACCAGTTTCAGAATTTCGTTCAATGAAACGACATGAATTGTCATTCTGGTGTAAGAATCTTGCCTTTAATGACAGGACTCTTAATCTTTTTGATGAATTGATTATAATTGGTCACTTGCCAAACTTGTTACATGAGTAGAAATGGAAGATTATCTGACCAATAACGAAACAGCAGAAAAACTGAGGTTACCATTTATTCGACACACGTTTGAAATGAGCTCTGAATTTCAACAATTTTGACCGTCGCATAGACTCATTATTCACATGAAAAAAGTGTGAGAAGTGTTCATCATGGTCATTAGGACTGTAGTCCCAACTTCTCATTTCAATACGGTAACTTTTATGATGTGATTTGAATATGCCATCACTTATTTGATTATGTGGTACTCCTACATTGTTATGTTTCAACAGTATGTTTCTAATTCTCCGAAATAAAACGGAATTGAGAGCGCAATAATCAACATAAAGTTCGTTCATTCCTCGAATTGAAACTTGATTTATATTTTGTATAAACTAGTGCATAATTAAATTCGCTTTATCCCAGCCTATTAAAAAATCTATTTGTTCTCTAATTTCATGAACTCCACTTCATGCATATGGAATGCTGTTTCAGGTTTTATTATACATTGTATCCCTCTCGTTATACTAATGAGAATTACTAATCTCATCTGGTGGTTCTATCAGCATTTTTAGTGATACTTAACATGACAAACAAAAGTACTATACAGAATCCATGATAGCATTTTCGAAAAAACTCTCGAATTACTATAATCAGAAAGAGCTCTTGAACAATGAAGTTTATTTCAAATTGATCGATCGATTTATTCACTGCTGTTCCTCATCTTTGAAAGAAGGTCCAGATTCAATTCCATTCAAAGTACTCTAAGGGGGAAGGCAATATATTTGGGACACCTACTTTAAACTCAAATTATTCTGTGGCACTGGCTACTGCGTAATGTTCTTGGATGATTACGTCATGCATTTCTTCGCGTTGTCTCATATAACGAAATATCGTGAATTTAAATGATTATTTTTATTTGTGACAGGAAAAGAGTTTGGCATTTTATCTCTGTTGGCAGGTTATAATATGTCACTATTCATAATTTACGTTTTTCTAGTGAAAAAAAAAGTGACTATTTATTTCCTGGATATATATCACATATATTATATATATACTGTTGATGGCTTTTGTTGTGCTATAGTTCCGAAAAGTGAGTAATAATATCGTCTCCGAGAAAGAACTGCCAGTCCTTTCATCTTCCATTCGACTTCGCGGTGACGTATATTACTAAACAACCACTAAATTCGCAATTTTTTTTAATCAAATCACAGAATAAGACTGACAGAAGTGACATCAGATATTTGATTACTTCAAAAGAATGATAAAGATACAACGCCTACAACACTGGTGTCCCTACTGTTAAAAACTGTTGATTCGTCCTTTCTTATGTCACAGACACAAATATTAGATTTTTCCTCAACACAACCTGGAGCTAAAATCTACCACTTTTTCCCTTGTATACTGAATAACAATGAAAACTGTACAGCTCTGGGGAAAAAACCGTTTGCTACAATGAATTTTCCACTGAAACTAGCTCATTCTGCTGTGCAGGAAGTCCAGATCCTCAGATCGCTCATCCTGGGCGAAGAAGAACGTGGCCAGAGCCAGTACCAGGTGATGTGTTTCGTGTTCCACTTCCCCAAGGACTCCTTCATCTCCTCGGACGCCATGTCGAAGCTGCGCCAGAAAAACCCGAGCGCCGTCCGGCTGCCCGAGGAGGACCTGCCGCGAGCGAACCACACGATGGACTACTCGCTGGTGCTCGAGCGCTCTGGGGTCGTCTCCCCCCACATAGCAGACGCGTGCGCGGAAGCTGGAAGCGCCACCTATGCGGTACACGAGGACGTGGTCAAGTGGGCGGGCGCGCAAGGTGAGAAGATTTTATTTATCTATGTATTCACAACTGTCAAGTATAATGATTATGATTTGACACTAGTGTTTTTTTTAATCTAGTACTAGTACGGTAATGATATAAAAAATGAATATCAATCAGAATAAATCGTTCATTGAATGAATAATACTGGAAACAGAATATTCATAAAAACTTTTTGTCGTCCTCGTGACGTTTTTGATGCTTTGACAATCCCGTGACATTTTTGTGTCGTTTATCGCTCTCTGGAAAAAACGTCATTCACAAAGACGTCACGGAAATGTCACAAAGACGTCACGCTTTCGTCAAAACGTTGAAACGTCACGGGGTTGTCAAAGCATCAAAAACGGCACAAAAACGTCACAGAATCTTCAAATTAGTTGGGATTAATGCATGGGTGAGATAGGAGTTCATTGGTCTGGTGGTATCATGAATGCAATACTAACAACTTATAGGTATTGAGATCCTGTGTTCTTGATCAACGTACTCCGTTCATCTGTTCCACAATACCTTCCTAACAACTTCATCACCCTTCATATTGAATCGTCCTGTAAGAATCTGGAAAATGTTTCCCACAAAATGAAACAGAAATTCACCGTGAAGCGAGAGTTGAATTATCCCCCTGGATTTTTCTGGAAATCCCGATTGCATCACGATACTGAATGCTTCGAGCACATCGCAATAGATAGCATTAATTAGGATCATGGTCTGATGGATTCTGATATCCAGACAGCGGTATGCAACCAACAATAATTCGAACCGAATTCAATGAAATCCTAGCACAACAAGAATCGACGATAATATCACAGATCCGGATTAGGAATATCCGATTTCGGTTCACTGAACTCTCTAGGAATTCTTTATAGTTACCCTGAGTACTTCACATCGACGATCACAAGCGTTCAATCAATACTAACTTTTAAAGCGAGTGAATCGGCTCACTGGATGATTGTTGTCCTTCTCTTTCGACAAGTATTCGTATATGGTACACATGGAAGGAAGATTGGGATTTTGAATTGGATAAATAATGTTGGAAAAATGTGAGGAAAAATTACAATGAGAATTCGCCAGGAAAACTTTTTGATGTCAGCATCAAATTAGGAAACCAGTTGATGAATGTGGTGAATCTGTTAACTTCATGACTTGACATGTATGGATGTGAGATCATTGAAATTTGATCTGGTTTAGATTCTTCATATCAGCACTTAGCAGGTCGATGTTCGCAGAACAAAAAAACAACCATACTTTCACTATCAACTTTGGCAGGATTACCAGATGAACCGTCTTCTCCTTATTATTTTTCAGTATCCTAATCTATGTATTGGGTGTTCCTAAGTTTACTCATACGGCGGAGAAAATACTTGCTCTTGTTGGTTGTTGAGAAATATGTCACTATGCGCGGAACACTTCATTCATGTAGTATGGACAATCTTATGTCATAACTTGTATCCAAAATCGTTACCATGATATCCAGTATTTGAAGTCAAATTCTTCAGATCCAGTATTCCTCAGGGAGATTCAGTTCCTGGTATGAAAAACCCAGTAAAGGGCTTGGCGAACAGGTTGCAGTTGGTCAGAGTGTTATTAATCTGGAACAATTTTCACATTATCAATATTTCTGAATCACAGAGTTGACTTGGCTATTCCTTACTATTGGTAAGTATATATACGTAATTCAACTGTAGCAGCTGTAATGAGTTCACAAGGTTTTCTACTTCCAATGATGATAATAATAATTAACGATTTCATTCACCAATACAAGTTTAAAACAGAGTTAGTAAAATGACGAATCTTTCTTCCAAACACTTCATGCCATGGATCCAGTGCTTTGGGATCCCTATAATTTGCAATCATCTCAATGGGATGAATCTTTGTCCATTTACGATGGCTGCAATTAAGTTAATGTCATAGCAAATATTAGCAAACCGGCCGAGCTCATTTAGATATGGATATCGCATATAACCAGTGCAGTTCAAACATATATCTGTGGTTAATGCACTGTTGCCATTACAGGTATATGGATTCACCTTTCTCAATTCAAGAAGAGTTGGCAACGTTCAGTTCCAGTTATATGGTTATGTCAGATATATTCAGATCAATTGTTCTTTGTATCCCTCCATCTTCATCTCCTGAATAATTGTAGATACCTACTGTGAATAGTTTGAATATATGTGTACGCTGGAACATGATATTGAATGCTGCAATGTCGCCAAAATTCTCAAATTCTGTAGGTCCATAACGATCATCTATACTTGATGTGAGTAGATAGAACTGATGTCTTCGAACAACGGAATGTTCGAAGTAATTTCATTCTTGACAACGGTCAGCCACCGTTGCCTTCTCTGTGTAACCCACTGATGGACAATGTATTACCGAGTTTCGAAAAGAGTTGGCAACGTTCAGTTCCAGTTATATGGTTATTTCGGATATATCCAGATATATTGTTCTTTGTATCCCTCCATCTTCATCTCCTGAATAATTGTACTGTGAATAGCTCAAATACGTGTACGGTGGAACATGATATTGTATCCTCGAGCAATTTGCTAATGCAGCTGGTTTCATTTTAATGAGGAACGTGTTTATTGTGTTGTGTATGTATTTTGGATTTCGAATTGTTGAGGTTCGTTATGTGAATATGTGAGATGAATAAGTATCCGTTGGATCTATACAGTAGACAATGTTGTGTTTGTACGAACAGTTTCAGAGGCTCCTATGTATCTGATTCCGAGAGCTGGGGTCATTAAATAGTTGAAACATTGAGAATTTTGGGATTTGAATTATATGCATCATTCGAGGTCACCCTGTGAAAAGTATCGATTCGTTAGAATATAAGGAAAAAAAAAAGAATATGGTTTTCGTATTGGTGATTATTTTGATCACAATGTTTTGAATAGCATTAACTAGGAGGACATGAACCTGATAAAATTGGAATGTTATTTTGAAATTCATTTTTTTTCCAACGCATCAATCGCTCGAAATGTATGTTGAACAATTGATGGCAATTTTTTGCTACAACTACCATCTGCTATTGTATTCTGTGCTATTGTGTTTTCATAGATCCGCAAAAATACATTTTTTTTTTGTTATATTCACTGTTCGAATCGAAGTGTTATTGCAAACTGGTGTAAATGCCCTATATCACTGTCACTAAAAAGTTAAAGTTAGAATTTTGATCAAAATATGCTGAAACTATACTAAACTTCAAAATCATATTTTGATTGTATGCCACCTCCAAACGTTTGATTGATTGATTGATTGATTGATTGGTTATATTCTCCATATTATTCACATTTGAACGTTGACGTTTCTCGCGAATTTTCAGAAAAATCATTCACTCCCCAGTAGCGAATGTATTCCAGTCAAAGTCTCCACCCTGTAGGTACACAGTGAGCACGTAAAGGTTGTAACTAATTCATTGAAAGTGTGATATGGTCATCGGGAGAAAAGCTCAGACACGTCAATGAACTTTTTAAGGTGTTTCATTGTTTGTCTACTCATGTTTATGATGACATCATCATGCTGAAATATTTTATGAACGAAATATCTTCCATTTGAAAAAAATATGACGTCCATACACAGAAAAATGCGTTATTTCTGAAGGTATCATCAAAATGGGGTATTGCCATTTGAAAAGAGTGATAATGACGTCATAACTCGAACACTGATGACGCAAATCAAAAATATGAGTAGACCAAAAAATCCGCAGCTGTAAAAGAAGATCATGATACATAACCATATTTCCGAGAAATAAAAGAGATTTTGTTTTCAATAATGTAAATTGAAATGATGCCGTCATCAAAAATATGAGTAGACAAACAATGACAAACCTGAAAAATACAATTGAGGAGCTTTTTCCCCACTGGCCATATCAACTTTAATAAGTGCCAACTGTATATTATGATTTTTTCCACGAACGCATATTTTTCGGAAGCGTCATTCTTGAAATTATGCTACAGGCGGTCTATCTCTCGATCCAAAACAATACGAATATGCATTGCAAAGATATGGAATGCCTTTTTTTGTTTCTGGATGAATGAGAATTTGATATTTATCATACAGGACGTGGAAAGAAATTTTGAATTGAGAAAGCTCAATCACGTATCTGTGATTGGAGGTATATAAATATAATGATTTTATGTAATTACAGTTTGTCCGAGCTTTCAGAAATGTCTATTTCCATCTTCAGGGAGCCTACAAATCGAATTGATATGTGTACATTGACAATAATATTGAGGAATGTTCGAATGATACTCACACTATTTGAGAATGATAACTATGGTGTTAAGAGAATTTGAAAGTCGTTGTAACATTTTTGGACATAACAGTGTCACAAAACATCAAAATTCTAGTAAAAGACGGAAGACGGTTTTTCCATAATTTTTCACATCAATCAAAAAGAATTTTATTTAACAAATTGAGACATTTAAAAACCTGTTACCGTTTATATCACGTTGATCAATTGTCTTCCTCACGTCTGCTCAAGGAAGAATTATAGGTTAATAGTACTAGGAACAACACTGAGCATAACATTCCCTAGGCAGTGTTGTTAAATCCTAAGTACATCACGCACTATATCCTGGTACAATTAACCTATAATTCTTTCTTGGGCAGACGTGAGGAAGAAGAAGAATTGACCAACGTTCGATTGATGTGAAAAATTATTTAATAACCCTCTTTCGTCTTTTACAAGAATTATAAATGTTTCGTGATACTGTTATGTCCAGAAATGTCTTAACACCATAATGATCATCCTCAAATAGTGTAATTACCATCTGAACATTCCTCAATATTATTGTAAATGTACACATATCAATTCAATTTGTAGTCCCCCTGAAGATGGAAATATACATTTCCGAAAGGTCTGTGAGGAGTGGAAAAGATGCGAAAACTTTCCTCTCCACATACCATACACTCATATTGAATTTCATTTTGATAAACCGAATATTCTAGAAGGTATGACTTATTGCCTAATAGATTCGTTGACACCCGGTATAGGTATT